GTAATCTGTTGTTCTTGGGTTGCGGCATGGTCCGCCCTAATCTTCTCAAAGAAGTTTTTGGGATCACCACCATATGTTTCTTTCACCTTTTCCCAGGTCTCTGTCGCGGGATCCGCCATAAATAGAGATGGCGACATGCTAGGATCGTTTCTCCTCTGAGCATATCCTCAGTTGCGCCCCGACTGTCACCACCCAGAGCTTCGATAGCAAATTCCGTAGTCCAGGGGAAAAGATGGTCGATTGCAACATCAGGGTTATTCTTTACCCACTTCCACATCATGTTGTACCAAAATGCGGTTTTGAGAGGAGGGAGACAGGCACGTTTTTTGACCACTATGTCGATCCTTTGGTTGACATCCTGTGGGAAGCGCTGACACTTATCGGTCTCATGTTCGCCAGAGTTACACACAGCGCAGCCGTGAGTGAAGCCATCTGTTCCGATGTCCCAGCACTGAATGACCTCATGGCCAGGCTTCTTGCACATGCCTCAGACTTCTTGTTCGGTCTGAGCAGGAGCTCGGGTCTGTGTCATTGCAGGCTCAGCATCCGGCATGACCTCATCAAAGGGGTCTACTGACAACTCAGACATTCTATCCACTGACTCTGAGAATAGTGTCACGGTCTTTGCGCGGAGGCGTTGCGCACGCGATATATTTGGAGTTGGCCAAGCGACTACGTTGAGACGAGTATTTTCGCCGAACTTCCTCTTCAGATTCTCTCCTACGCCCTTGGCCTTTACCGCCTTGATCGTCTGGTACTTAGTACCGTCTTTCTCTATCTCATAGTGGAAGTTTTCTTGTCGACCACCGCCTTTAGACACATTGAAGAAATCGAGGACAGAACCTTTGTCTGTTTCGACTTGGACTAGCGAGATCTTCTCCACTTCTTAAGATGTCTTTGTCTTCTTTCTTACCCTCCAGTCCTGTCCACCACTGTTTTGGCTCTCCTGTGTTTGCGGGGCCTGGTGAGACTGGGAGAATGGGTTTGAAGGCTCGTTAACAGGTTGCCATGGGACAGTGGGGGCAAACTGGGACGGGTTGTAACCCGGTCCCATGGCTGGGTAAGGGAGATATTGCCCAAATGGATAACCCGAACCAAATACAGGAGGGGGGTTGCTGTCCATAAGGAGCCGGGGGGTAGTTGGGATGGGGCATAGGATAATTGGGAGTATTTCCCCAATTTCCATGACCTTGGTAGTTGCCATGGCTATTGTTGTAGCCACCGCGATTACCACCACGACCACCACGACCACCACGGCCACGACCACCGTGATCACCATATAGTCCGCCGCCACCTGCAGCTTCATCTTCTGGTTGGTTTCTCTTCGACATTGCTTGTTGCTGCTGCTTTCGTTGTTGTGGGAGCCGCAGCTTTGGTGTCGATGAAGAGATGAGGAGAGAGAAGCAAAAGAAAAGAGAGGAAGAGAGAGGTGGAAGGGCGATGAGGTAAACAGCTCGAATGAGGTTGATCTGTGCGTTACCTCCATCTTTCTCTGCCTTACTTAGGTTGAATATTGGCTGTCAGCGTCAGTGTGTCAGTGCCAGTGGCTGTCAGTGTCAGTGGCTGTCAGGTACTGAAAGCAGGCATATTATGACACTCAGACAGATCCATACACAAATAGTGTACTTCGAGAATTGGACTACCGAAACTAAACGACACTGATGTGATCTTACACTCAAGATGGACGAACTTCCCCCTGTTTTGATGAAAGCAACGCACCACTCATTTATCACCAACCTCATCGTGATTCTTAGCCAACTTAAACTTGGTTCGCAGCCCTTCAACACCCCCAGGCAACTCCGCACCCCAGCGGTCCCAAACATCGGGCGGGATCCAATTCCAATCTTTTATCGTAGTCCTCCCTCGCTCACGACTAGCTCTAGTGTAAATACCCACAGCGTAGTCCCACTTGTCCTTCGGAATGGTCTCCCATTCGAAACAGTGCTGTACCTCGAAACTTGCTTCGAGGCGGGTTTGAGAAACAAGGTCCTTTATGAATACTTCGCCGTGCTTGTTGACTGTGACAAAGGCGATTTGGTAGGTATAAGCTCTCAAGAGATGTGCCCAGACTTCCATGAAATCATCGAATTCGATACCCTCTGGTTCTTCCTGGGTAAAAGGCATAGCTTCATCAACGTTATAACCGCATGTGCTGAGGACTTGAAGTAGCAATCTGCAACGTTCCATGATGTGCTTTACTTCATCCATGTAGACACGAACCTGCTTATCGACGATATAAATCTCTGGTAACAGCATAGAAAAGCGCGAGGCGCTTATCGCAGTCTTTATGAGTCCAAGGCCCTTCATGACAGTACCAGTATGTGCGACATGCTTCAGGAGACCGATCCGGGCTGCGTCACTAGTTTCATGGACCTCAGGGGCTATTTTGTAGGTGAATGCAAAGCAGTTCGTGTTACTCCCTGAGATTATCGCAGCCATTTGCGCTTTAGCTGTATTGACCATGGGGTTCTTAGACTTGAGGCTCAGAAACAGCGCGAGGCGATGATCGTATTCGACAAGGGGGAGAATTTTGTAGAATGCCTGGTGGGATTCATTAGGGAGAGCCAGTGACAGCCCTGTGGTCGACTTGGAATCTTTTTGAAGGGTCCCTTGCCGAATGAGTCGTTGCCCGATATCGATAGCGACTTGAGATTCTTCTCCCCTGTGATCGAAAAGACGCATAACATTGGAAATACCGAGAGGCCATTTGTCCAACTCGCTCAAAGCAGCCAAAAAGCCCCCAAGCTGCTCATCCGCGAATCTCATGCGTCGACGACTTTTAGCCCCGTGGCAGAATCCTGGCTGTGTGTATACGTTTGTGCTCTCTCCGCTGAAGCGATGCACCCAACTCATCTGTTGCTTCTCCTCGGAGCTTGAGCATTCTGTGGTGACGGTGATGGGCTGTCGTGTCTCGAGGTCAAAGATCAGCCGGCGACGGGTGGTGCTCGTAAGGAGGTGAGGCCTGCCTGCGTCTGGGATCCTTTCAGCAGTCTTGAAGTCCATGTTGATGAAAAGTGTTCGTCGGGGTTTTATTGCGGAGTCTAGATCCTGTTGGTGGTGTTGGTAACACGGATCCCAGGATTCATCAAGGCTCGTCGGTCTTCGGAAGCTGATACAAGTATGGGTGCCATTTGGGGCAACCTTTTTGACCCAATTCATCATTTCTGATGTTGCACTTTTGGTCTTTGAGTTTGAGATGACTCGTCCCCCACCTCGCGCGATAGACGGCAGCACGTATTCTCGAAGGGGTTCTTTGGCTGCGGGCCAATAGTTCCAGATTGCTTTTGTCATGTTGTGGATGCCTTCCCATGACATTGTCATCAAGCGCATACGGCCACTGGATGTACTGTGTCTTTTTATCATGGTAGTCCAGGCTATCAGGGCGAGAGCGTACTCGGCAGAGTAATCAGGGTCTGCCTCGATGATGACAACAACAGCACAAGCATTCTTGCCAATGTCTGGCAGGTGCCAGCCATTCTCCCGACGAGCAATCTTCAACATATTCGTTGCTTCGAGATAGTCCATTGTTCTGATGCTCTTCGCGGTTTGTGTGGTGAGACGCATGTTGGCCCTCAACTTCTCTCGTTCCTTGAAAACTTGATCTTTCTTTGTCGCATTTGTGATATGGATGATTTCCACATTTGAATTCGATCTGCAGAAAGAATCTTGTAGAAAGAGAGGAACTTTGATCGCCTTTGCGATTGCTGGTTGGCCTTGTATATGAGCAAACATGAAGGGGTGGTCTTTCATTAGCCATTTTGCCATGTCACGAATGGTGTCTTTCCAAGGGTCGCCCATCTTGTACTGAACTGGCAGTGAAAAGGATAATAATTTCAAGGATTTTATCTTGTTTTCTGCTCAGCAATAGTTAAGAATATCATGATTCGAACGGAAAGGGGTGTACAGTGGCAAGAATGAGTGCTGAAATGATGGTTCGGATAGCTGCATGGATGAAACAAAGAAAGCAAACGCCATGCACGGGTAGTGAGCAATCAACATGATTTAGTCGCTTTTGACAATCATGACATTCATGATCAAACAATTATTCTGAATATCTCCTCATTTGCTTGCAATGAAATAGACAGAAAGCACCCCTGGCACCATGCTTGTGCAGCCACACAAACGACACATCGAATGCAGCTAGATCGCAGAGTTTCTTACCATTTCCACACGCGATCAGAGCCATCCTCCTTGGACATAGAAACCATGACAATTCACACAAGATCCCATGCTAATCTAACCTAGTCAATATTTCAAAAGTAATTACATGTTCTTTTTATTTCATCCGCTAAACCAAGGGAACTGGCTCTGTGATTAAGCTCCCGTCCACGAACCATTGAAGTGGTCAAGCGGTCTCTAAGATAGCACACCACACTCCATCAAATTTGAAACGAAGCTCCCTGACTTTGATCCTGATCAGTAGAGAACTGCCCGTAGAATGAGTTGGAGTCTCCGCCTGCAAGTGCGCTCTCCGCTCTTGCTGCTCGTCTCGCTGTTCATCTCGCCTCATCCTGGCTAGGTACTGTGGCCATAGTAAATATGAGCTGGCGCTTTCTTAGGCAATGTCGGAACAGTGGGCACACGAGAGCATAGACGTTCTCTAGCAGAGAATTGATTCCCGCAATATCCAATATAGTAAAACCACAAAGTTGTGAAACTCTTCTTACCGTTCATCTTAGTGTATTGGATGGTAATCTGAAGCGTTAGCAATAATGGTCATCAGTGCAGACCAAGTAAATGCACAGAGCTTGGCTTTCTTCAATGTAGGCGTCAAATTCCATGGGGTATCTAGCTACAAGTTACTCCCAGGACACAGAGTATCTCAGAGCTCCGGTCTGTCTTGTACATGACTGCACAACCTCATATGTATCCTTTATGTAGCAAGAAGGCGAGCTGATCCTTCGAATAAATCCTACAGAGTCCAGGAAATCCATCAATCCGGACCAATATCCTGTTCCGACGGCACATACCCCATGCCATGAAACTACTTCATCAAAAGCTCATACACGCAAGAGATCAGACTTAGCACGCTCCTTGATCTCCAAGACCAACTCCGAGATCTCCAACTTCTCTTCAGGAGTTTCAGCCCGCCCTCGCCAGAGGTCCCCAGCCAGGTTGATACGCTCAGGCACACCAACCCAGTGGCCCTCCTTCCCTTTAATAGCCCAGTTGCTGATGAAAACGATAGTAGTTAAGTCTGGGCTTTTTCTGTCGAGAAATCCATTGATAACAGCCTTACAGGCGTCTCGCTCTTTTTTTATCTCAGACAGAACGTCCTTGAATCCTCCTGGGAGTTTTGCAGCACCCTGGATCGTTCGTACCTTCCGGGTTTCTGAGAGGTCCTCCAAATGGCTTCGCAATGTAGTCACTCGAGTCTTGGTGAAATCGTCGTACCAACCTAAGATGTCGTGCCAGATCCTGCTAATTCCTTCCAAGTTGATTAGTTTGCATACCTCGGACGAGAGCTCGCTACCATCCGCACCCTGGAGACTGGCAGGCCAAACTACAATAGCATGACCTTTCTCAGGGGGTTCTTCGGGGTCGGTGAGATACGACTCGTTACTATGTGCTCTTTCCTCCTAGTTCCAGGTAATTTCGATACGCTCCTCCATGAGACGCTCTCGGATCTTGTTGAAGTCGCGGCCATCGGGACCGTAGACGAATGTCCAGAAGTCAAACTCGGGTCGTAGGATCAGTGTGAATGGTCGATCTCGCTCACTGGGAGTTGCCCCTGGGTACAGTGCCTCCCAAGCGATTCTTCGACTATTCAGAGATGGGGGTGCGATAGGCAAAGGGTTGTGCATGTTATCGCAAACCATGGCTTTGGTTGATGTAGACTCATTTTGGGGTTGTGCCGCTTGGTACTCTGCTTCCTCGGGAATAGACACACGGTAAATGCCCAGTTTCCCGTCACGGAGGTGATCTTCTCTCAGGGAGGCAAACACTGTCGAAGGCTTCTCCCCATTCTTTTCCGATGGTGGTTGTGGCCACGGCCAAATTGGCTTCGATTTCGAGTTTAATCCCAGGACTGCAGGCTGTTTGATCAGTCAACGATGAAAATTTTCTGAATTGGACGGTAATTACACCAGAGGTTCCAGAAAACCTTGGCTACTTCCCATACAAAGCGGGAGACAGTGACTGTATTTGCATCCATTTTGATGAGGAATCTGGCTGCAATGATTGTGGCATCTTTGCACTGAACCTTGCTTGCTTCTTGCATAGCTTCTCTCGGAAAACCTTGGGAGAGAAGGCGTTCAACATAGTCGCGCCTCTACTTTATGTCGGGTTCCGGGCCAGGGAGCGGAGGGCGTCGACATTCGAGATGCAAGAGATGCATGCGCACATCCACCAAATCATCGTCGGAGCATTCATCCATCTCTATGGTGTTGGAGATGGCGGGGGTGTTGAGGATGATAGGCTTGACAATCTGTGCTGTTCTCTTGTTGGACTTTTGTTTGCCGGCTTTGGGTGTGATTCACTGCCACCGGCTACCTACCTAGGTAATGCAGAGGCTTGCCAGTGCCAGATAGTTCAAGACAATATAACTACGAATGCCATCCGTTCTCCCTCCTTATTCACTCTTTTCTCCGGTTCTTTTATTCATTTCTGCTACAATCCTATAGACTGTAGCCTGGACCTCAGGGGTGTGATGGGCCCGGCGAGCCCTGTGATGGACGCCGTTTCTAGTATGCCGAGAGCCTCTCTATGCTTTAGAGAAGCTTCGCGATGACCTGGATAATTCCTGTCAAACAAAGTACCCAGCACCGTCGTCGTATTGTCAATGCTCTATATAGAACTCCAAATTTGTACTATGTGTTCGTTGGCTGTCGTGGCAGCATGTTCCTCACCAACACTGTTGACCATGGCGTTGACTCTCGATTACTTGAAGCCGCAGGCAGTGCAAGCTTCCTCAACCGTTATTGTTTGGGCGTGTGTCTAAGATGCTTTGTCAACACATGGGATACATACACCATAAATCAAATCTGGCTCTCATCGAGGGAGAGCAATGAGAGTAGACGGCATAATTAACGGAATCTCTATCCGCTCTATAATAAGAGGCTCGGGGCAAACTTGCGCAAGCTCGTCACAGGTTGTGGGCTCCCTGTCATGGTCAGACCATAGAAGTAGATGCCAACGCGCCTGGTGTTCCTAGTGAGCACTCGTGTAAATACTACAGAAAGAAATTACCCTGTATTGCTCAGAAAATTGTAAAGAGGTTAAACCTGAGATACCTGCCTTCCTTAGCGTGAAGGTACCTTCCGTTTTGGCATAATGGTATTTTTAACTAAAATCATGTACTACCCTAGACTCGTCCCGGTCTTTTCATGTCCTAAGATTAAAAGCCTGACATCTTCGTAGGTTTTCTCTATTGAGTACTGGATATCGCCGGGACATACTTGTGGAAGCGTTCAAGGCCCTGAATGTCACATGCAAGTAATTCTCGACGATCGTTGCCGTTACATTCAATCCAGTTGCACTCCGGTAACGAGCCCGGAGCTTTCTCCACTTCCGCCCGAACCGGCGCCGGCTCTTGACCCGATTACGGCAGTTCGCGATTTCACCCCGGACCAACCCTCAAAACAGTCGCCGAATCCCTCTCAAAAGCTTAAAAACTTATCGAACGGTTCGGGCCGTTACCTCAAAACGAATAAAGTGTTCTTGGACCTGCATACAAAATCACATTATCCCAGGGGTCATTCACCACTGAGCTGTGAACGTGGAAATGATGAACGTCGAAACTGTCGTAGGCTATCGCTGATTAGCTCTGGTGATCGGCACGTGGGTGGTCGATGCTGAATGACCTGGGGGTTTCAAACTTAGATGCGAACCTGGTGAGGAGGATGTTATGCATGCTGATTGGTGGCTTGGGACTAGGGTGCACTAAGAGCTCACGAGGGTGGTATTGGACGGAGTGGATGATTAGAGGAATCAGATATTGGGATGGATTATGCAAAAGGGGATATATAGTTTCGAAACTCCTGCTATGAAACTCGCGTTGTTGTTGTTTCCACCGTCTTTCGTTCAACTTTGTAATAAGGTTGAGAGGTCAAAAGAGGCTTCAGCCCCAACACAACAAGGTCAAGAAACACAAAACAACACATACGGGTATTATACTCATTGCGTTCATTCAACTCGGTCATCATGAAGTCCTTCGTTTCTGTCGCTATTCTCCCTCTCGCAGTTCAGGCCGTGAGGATCGTTCAGTCCAACGATGATGGCTGGGCAGAGTCTTATATCCGCACTTTCAACGACGCTTTGAACAGCGCGGGCTACGACGTTGTTCTCTCCGCTCCTGCAGAGAACAAGTCTGGCAGCAGTAAGTCACATCAGTACGCGTTTTAATCACATCTAACATTATGTAGGCTCTAGGGATGAGAGACCAAAAGACCGCACCACAGCGTGTCAGTATGACAGCTGCCCTGCCAACAGCGGCCCTGTTGGCCATGATCCCAAGCGCCCTGATCTCAACTGGGTCAACTCGTTCCCTGTCACTGCTATGAAGTACGGTATCGACACTTTTGGTCCTAGCTTGTGGGATGGCGAGGCTCCTGAGCTTGCTGTCGCTGGTCCCAACGTTGGAACCAACCTCTGGCTTCAGGTTCCTTTCTCTGGCACTGTCGGCGCCGCTTGCTATGCTGCTCACGAAGAGGGCATCCCAGCCATTGCCTTCTCTGGAGCTTCTACCGGAAATACGGCCTTCAACACTAGCCCCGCCCCCAAGCGCAGTCTCGTCTACGCTGAGCTTGCGACCACTCTCGTCAAGAAGATTGTCGACTCTGGAAAGCCTTACCTGCCCCAGGATGTCTATCTCAATGTCAACTTCGGAAAGGTTGAGGGTAAATGCACCGATGCGTCCCAGTTCCAGTGGGTGCTGACTCGGATCAACACTGGTCTTCTGTCCAAAGATGATACTGAATGGTGTGGTGAGGATCGTCTCCCTACTGAGACTGAGATTGCTCTTAAGAGTGGATGTTATGCTTCTATTAGTGTTGGAGATGCTGCTGATAAGACTACTGCTGATGCTGCGCGACAGAAGGTTGTGTTGGGCAAGTTGAAGGACATGCTTGTGTGTGTTGATTAGATAGCGAGTGATATAGGGAGTGATTGAGTAGATTTGCATGTATATAGACCATATTAGTAGAGTCAATTCAATATTTAAATAGTTCTATGCCAAAACAAAAGTGATTCCATTCCCAAGTTCAAGTCTCACTGGGTCGAGGGGCTTATCGATAAGCGTTGACACCTGACATTCCAGGCCTACCTAAAACACTTTAGCAACCTCGACTTTTTGCGCCATCTGGGTATCACGATCAAGGGCCGGTCCACCATAGCTCTCAATTACACCCTCACAATGGCGCCAATCGACCGCTGCTTGGCCTCCATGGCCAGGCTATCCCTCCTACAGACGCCTCGACCCGCAGTTCCCACGATACCAAAGTTTCTTGCCCCGGCGGCTGCTCAGCAAGTTCGACAGGCTTCGGTTGTGAGAATCAGGAAGACAACGAAGAAGAAGAAGGCGTTGCCTAAGGACTTTAAGAGACATAATTTGGCCAAGAGGGAATTTCCTCAATACTCGTTATGTGAAGCTATGAGGTCAGTGGGATTGGGAACATGGCACCAAGCTGGGGAGACTAATATTGTGCAGAGTCCTACGAGCTGTTGAGGTTGGACAACCGCCTGCTTCGGTCAAGTACGAAATTCACATCAACCTCAAGACCGCCCGAAACGGACCCGTCATCAAGAACAGCGTCCGCCTTCCCCACCCTGTCCAGAGCGATTGGCGAATTGCCGTCATCTGCCCCGAGGGCAGCGAGATCGCCCAACAAGCCACCGCCGCAGGTGCTGTAGCAGTCGGTCAAGAAACCCTCTTTGAAGCCATCAAAAAGGAGCAGATCAACTTCGACCGTCTCATCTGCCACGAGGCCAGCGAAGCAGCTCTCAACAAAGCCGGTCTAGGAAAGATCCTCGGTCCCAAGGGTCTCATGCCCAGCAAGCGTATGCGAACCATCGTCCCCGACGTCGTCAAGTCGATGCGAGACTCTGCTGGTGCAGCTGATTACCGTGAGCGACAGGGTGTTATCCGCATGGCTATTGGACAGCTGGGTTACTCACCTGATCAGCTCAAGAACAATATGAAGGTGTTGCTGAACAAGGTCAAGGCGGAGTGTGCGGAGATTTCAGAGGAGGTGCACAAGGAGGTCCACGAGGTTATTCTAAGCACAACCCATGGACCTGGCATAAGCTTGAATGGAAAGTTGAAGGATGCAGAGGAGCAGATTACCCCCGAGGCATTGTCGAGCATCATGTAAAAATTAGCCTTGACCTTGTATAATTGTATCATATGTCATATTACGAATAGACCTTGTGAGCGTCGTGGGTATCATTATTCATTGCGGCTATGAACTGCCTCTGAGGGCCTTGACGGCCTCTGATTGTGCATCTAGCACTCTATATATCGCCAAACACTTTAGCACTCTATCCTGTCCTTTTACATCAGCCTTTTTTGCTTCTTTTAGAGCATTGCCCAAGTCTAGCAGCAATGTGTTTCTGCACCGTGTCAAACGTTCCTCCATCTTGATCACAAACGGGGCATTCGGGTCTAAAGACTCGAGAAGCTTTGTGATGCGGCTGCATTCTTGTGCTGAGGCGAGCAGTCTTGTTGGGGAGCTTCCGTAGTTGTCGTCCTCGTCCTCGTCCTCGTCCTCGCTTTCTTCGTCCCAGTCGTCGTTATTCGGTAGACTATCTAGGGATAGACGTTCTTCTAGTGATGAGAGACGCTGAGATAGCTCAATCATTTTTCGGCCCTTCTCGATAGCTGATCGGACACCACGCAGCTCCCCATTAAGGGCATTCGTCTCCTCTTTTCGCTCCGTGACTTTTGTCTTGACTTCCTCTACAGCCCGTCGGAAACCAAGTAGAGAAACCTTGACATCTTCAACCTTGTCATCGCCGCCGCGCAGTTCGCTACCGAGTGAAAGAAAGGCTGTGTAGTTCGAATTGACAAGTTCGAGAAGTTCAGAGCTGATCGCAGCACTCCTGTCGCGAAGGTCCGATCGCAAGTCCTCTAGGGTCTGGTGACGATGTGGTAGAGCAGATAGATAGGCGGCAGGTTGGAAGTCTTGAGCTAGGAAGTCGGCGCGAGGGAGAGCTTCGGGAAATGGTAGAGGAGCATCTTCATCGACCGAGGAAGTGTCGGAGCCGGAGAGTGTAAATGGAGCGGATACTCTGAGATCTGCCATTGGGGATGAGAGATTATCTGGCGCGGCCGCCATTTTGGTTGGTTGTATACCGTGTGGTTGGTTGTCTGAAGGTGTCTCGACGTAGGCTAAAGGTTAGGTGGCATGGATTTGGTGGAGGAGCTACTGATGGTGAGGTTCGGCGGCGCTAGCCCTGATTGGATATTGTGATCTTATTAATGGACCCCAGATCTTGGTCTTCGATTTCATTTCCATATATGAATCAAAGGCAAGTTAGGATATCTATCTTTTATTATAGAAGTATATAACATGTATGCTTTAATTAAATTCTTGTTTCCAATGCGGATTTAGGGGCTTTTCTTATGATAGTCTCTTCAGAAATGAGAGAACATCAGAAGTCTTATCGCTCACGGCCCTGGATCTAAGCTATTTGTTCCCGACACGAATACCGACCGCCAAGATCACCTCATCTGGAACTCCAAGTTCCGTGTGAGGAGTCATTTCCCATTGGCCATCATCGACATGTTGGTTCTAGACTTACTCCGTGCAACCTGGCAAAAGGTTTAGCTCCGTGGAGATCGAGTGCTGAATACCATGGCCGAGCCAAGTGGATGGGGGTAAAGAGAAACCGAGAGGAAGCGGATCACATTACGTTTGACGAGCTGATCCCAGGGACGTATTACCGAGGATACGTTTAGGCCAAAGGATAGCTGGCTTGGACGTATTGAAGATCAAGAATTGGAGCCAGACAAAATCCCATTCAAATACAAGAGTTTCGAGTTGACTGATAGACTCAAACATTGAGCCTCTTCAAATTAACCATGTCAGATGTCAAAAATTCCGTGCTGTTTCAGGCGGCATTCAACCCTTGCTACAGTCCAATGTCACATCATCTGGCCCCAAGCTCGGTAGACCGTAGCTTGCCCCAATGTTCAGTGGCACGAACCACCCACCGCTGGACAGAAGGAAGATGCAAGTTCAATCAAGGTCCTATGATCGGCTGTTCAAGTCCGGATATAACGCCTTCAACCACGTGAGCGGGCCATTTCCCAACAGTTCGCCGCAAATTCCATAAAGATTCCGCGCCTGTGTAAAGAGGCGGCTGAGTTGAAGCTATTGCACAGCGAAGTCGGAGTAAGACCCTGGGATCGGCACTAAAGTTATGCATGCTGAAAGGATCTTATCTGATGGCTGCGTGATCACGGATTCGCTCGTGCAACTCCGACTTATGCCGGCCAAGTCCAGGTGAGCCCCGAGCCTCGGACAAATTAAGAAGGTGAGTGTCAATGCTTTGGAGGGGCTTCAGTGGAGGAATCCATTCAACAGAGAACGGCCATTGGAGATCTTCAGTGATGATACTACCTTTCGTTACATTATGACGAGAATGCGAATACTCTGCAACGTAATTCGAACTGCCGCGGAGGATTATCAGCAAGATCGACGAGCTACTGCTGATAAAATGCCAAATCCTGACCGTCGCGTCAATAATTGAGTTTTAATAACTTGCTCTAAGGGTCTCACGGTTGGATGCGTTCAGGTGGTCAAGGTGTTGCGGAGCCACCAAAGGTTATGACTGATTAGATCCATCGCTGAGACTGGATGCCTGAAAAATGCCTGGTCGGCAATCATATTACGAGAAAAGTTGCTGTTCAATTCGGTCGTAATCTGATGAAACCTCATCTGGCTGGTTGTCTCCGAATGCCTGGCGCAAATGATTCGTGCCTGGCGTGTGACGTCCGCAAAACTTTTATCAATCAAATCTTATCAATCTGATCAGATCCACTATCTTCTCCTGGAATCGGACCATTGGCTTCCCAACCGTCGGTTGTGCTCGGGGCACAAAAGTAACGAGGCACCCCGCGATTAATTTCCTTCTCTGCTACCCTTTCTCCCCTCTTCAACTTTGTTCTGATTGATTGATGATCCTTTACAAATCCTCCGGCTCATGTACTTGGATGGGTTCATCACTTTATCAATCTGTCAACTTGGCTCTCAGCCGCTATCAATCAACCGAGGCTAAAGCCGAGATCGCACTGAGCTGTCACATCGCAGTTGCGTCAGCTGCGCTCCCAATCAATCTTATCAATCTGCAGCATTGACTGTCAACTGAGACCACCATTGACATCCACGAAGAGCTCGAATTAGAACTCAAAACAAGAATAACCCTTACGGGCGACTTCTATTTGACAATCTTGCTTCGGCAATTCTTTCAAGATTTACTTCTCGGAACTCCGACCCGATTTGGCGCGACCGACCGAAAACAGAACCGATCTCGCCACAAACACAACATCTATTACTCGTCGACTTCCACCATGTCGGCTTCATCACCTCAGTCCATTGCATCCCCTGGAGCTGGCACACCTGTCGCTTCACAGTCAGGAACCAGGCATCGTGCCATCTCAGCTGCACCAAGTCCTGCCGCCTCACCAGCCACATCGGGTCCCCACAGCCACAGGACGCCACTCTCCATTAAGCCGAGTGCGAAGCCACCTCCACCCACACAACCTCAGCAGCGCACTGCTCTTCCTTCCATCAACAAGATGGCCATGTCGTCCGTAATCAGTCCCCAGCCGGCTCCGCCGGAGCCTCCCAAGGTGTCTATGACCTCTAAAGAATGGGTGATCCCTCCAAGGCCCAAGCCTGGCAGGAAGCCCGCTACCGATACACCACCCACTAAGCGCAAGGCTCAAAACCGCGCAGCTCAGAGGGCCTTCCGGGAGAGGAGGGCTGCTCGTGTTGGAGAGCTTGAGGAACAACTTGATCAGCAACGTGAGGCCCAGGAGAAACATGAATCAGAACTCAAGGACAAGATACACGAGCTTGAACTTGATGTCCAATCCTTCCGATCTAGATGCATGTTACTTGAAAACATGCTGGAGCGGGAGAGACAGGACCGTATCAGAGTCGAGACAGAAGCCGAGACCCTCAAACGTCGTCTAGATGAAGGTGTCTTTAACTCAAATTTTCAATCCCGAAGCATGAGTTCTCAGCACCCGTTTGAAGGACTTCACAGTCCCACCAGCCAGGGACCAAGACACAGCCTTCCTGATGCACGACCTGATCGTCAATCAGGCCACTCCTTTTCCATCTCCCAAATCATCTCTCCCCCAGAAACCCTCGACATGAGTGCGTCCAATGATACTGAGACAGCCATAACTTGTGGCAACTGTTCTCCAAATGGACCCTGTGCATGTGCCGAGGAGGTATTGAACTCCGCGGCCAACGGCTGCGGCAAGTGCACTCTCACATCGAATTGCCAATGTCTCGATGAAGTAGCTGAGGCTCTTGATCGGTCTCAAGAGCTGAAACGTCCTGCCTCACCATCGGCCAATGTATCTACTGAGAAGAGGCATCGGTCTAATGCTGACGCCGAGACTGACTTCACAGCCATGTTCTCCCGCAAGACTCAAGAAGCCTTTTCTACACCTTCTCAACTCCCTTCCATGGACTCTATGCCTTTCAGAGATGGCTGCGGCTTCTGCAAGGATGGAACCTACTGCGTCTGCGCTGATACCGCTCTCGCCACTCCTGCCATGACCCCTAATGATACTCTTCCTCCCATCTCTCAGCAGGTCCAGACCCCACCCCCTGAAGATACTGATCTCCCTATTCTTGCTATGGAGATGACGGCCGATGGTGCTGTCAAGCTTCCTCCGCGCCGTCCCCAGGCTCAATCGACTGAGCGTCGTGGCTGTGGTCCCAACGGGCCTGGTACTTGTGCTCAGTGTCAGGCCGATCCAAAGTCTGGACTCTTCTGCCGCCTAATGGCCGCCAACTTGAACCGTAAGGATGGTAGCTCTGGTGGCTGCTGTGGTGGCAAGGGTGCTGGTGGCGGCTGCTGTAAGACCCAGAAGCCACCGCAACCAGAGAAGATCAATCTCCCAAGTCTACCAAGCCTGGGCTTGAGTTGCGCGGAGGCATACCAGACACTATCCAGTCATCGCAACTTTTCAAAGGCGGCGGATGATATTGGCTCTTGGCTGCCTAAGCTCAAGGCCACACCTAGACCTGGTACTCGGCCAGCACCACCTGGCGCAATGATGCCAATTGAGGTTGAAGCAGCAAGTATAATGAGCGTTCTGAAGGATTTTGATATTCGGTTTGGGAGGGGAATTTAATGGGATCCCAAGCCGTTAAACTGGATGAAAGATATTGAGTACATAAAAAAATGGCGGTTTAGTGAGCATACAGCTCGTGGCAGAGTTACGGCATGCCTAATATGGCACTGGTTTGGGTTCTGGTTGGAGCGTTGATATTATACCCTTCATTGGCTAAGATGTAGACTTCACTTGTCTGTGCATCTATGAATTTATGCGTCTATTAAGATCAATGCTCTTGATGTGAAACATGTCCCGGCGATGCATTCAATAACGTGTGCATAGCAGGGTTCTAGAAGAACTTGTGCAACTAGGGTGAGCTTGTATGATTTGGCCAGTCGGAGACGTAGACGAAGTAGGCAGATGGGATGAGTGCACCGATTGAGCTAGAAAATAACGGTGTCCAAAGTGCCATGTGGCTGTAGGGTATAACCCAGGTGTAGAGCCTCAGCACTAGGTAGGCAGCGAGGGATTGACAGCTACGTCGACGGGTTGATGACTGTTCCATGAGTAATGACAACACACTATGGCAACCTGTCAACTGCTGTCGGGATAGTCACGCGCTGACGTGCATGAAAGGAAAGACATCCTCGGCTGAATGAGGACATACATAGAGACTGGGGAAAAGGCGGGAGCTAGATACGGATGAAGTTGTCGTGAACTGTTGGGAGGCGGTGGAGTTTTGATGGTGGAGCAACATGGCCAGCGCATCGCCTGTACAAAATACAATCCGAGTCGAGTAGGTAGCACAAATGTCGTTCACTGGATATTCAGACAAATAAGGATAGCTGCATTAGACTAAAGTGGCGAGTTAGAGCCCGAGGCAGCTGAGAATAGTCGATAATATATCGAATACGGCTGCATAACTGGCTAGAGAGTCGACGAGTCGGTCTGTCTAACAAATATGAATGGCTGGGGCCACTCGGTGAGCTCTCAGCGCAGAACTCGTCTGGCAGTCAGTGATTGGAAGAGGATGCA